ACCAGTTCAAAACTAACTCACATATCTTCACGCATTATGGTCCAAAATCCATGTTCATGGCAACTACAGAAATACTGCCAAATCGATTTTTGCATACTGTGCGGTATTTATCGGCATAAGAACTACATTATCCATATTTTCCTCACAGTACCAGCTTGACATAAATATTTATATATGTACAAATTGCTCTGAGAAACTTTCGAGTAAGAGTTAGATGTGTTCTCAGTGTAATGGAAGGAAGCAAGAGAGTGTTGCTAAGAAAGCATTGCAAATGTAGTACAGATGGATAACAAGAAAGGAATTTGGAACTTATGTATTCATGCTCAATAAACCTCCACGTCATGGTGCCTGTTTGAGTTGTGCGTGTCATATATCATTATCACCCAAATTCCATGAAATTAAAGAAGAGAAGAAAAGAATTGATTTTCCTTTCCAAATTCAAATAGAACCAGAGTAAAATTGTTTAACCTGCAAAACAGTGGCGATAGGAAGCTGAGATCAAGGCGGCTATACGTTCGAATAAGTTCGGAGTCTTCAGAGTTCAGACTCCAGAAAAAAAAAAAAAAGAAAAAAAAAAGAGGAGAAAACACAGAAAAGAAAAATTTTTTACAAGGAAGGACAAGAGCCTCCGATTTCTGCGTTTTCTTCTATTTGGTTTTTATTGTTTCGCTTAGTTCAATTAAGTCGCCAAGATTTACAAATTGATCATTTGATCCCAAATTAATTAACTTTTACTAAACACGTCAAATTGGTTGGGGTCCACCCCCATTGGGGTGGGACCTGTGGGTGACGATCAATTGTAGATGGATTTGCCCAAGGCTATGACTATCCAGGACTTTCTGTTTCTGGTGATGCTTGCTGAAATCATTTGGAGTGGTGAGGCATCGTAGATGGGTTTGAGTAGTGAATAAGGTCTAATTCCCGTGGGAAGCCCATTGACCCTCTTGTTTTGTTAACAGGTAGATGTAAGGAATTTTTAAATAGAGATTAGTAAGTGTCACATTTAGCAGTGTCATATAATTTAGAGCATGTTTGGTTAGTCACTTTTTTTAAAATTTTTTTTGAAAAAACTAATAAAAAATTTAATTAATTTAAGTTACGACTTAAACTCTCCTACCATATAAATTGAGGCACGATATAATTAGTTATAAAAAGAATGTAATGCACTATAATCATTTTTTTTTCTTTTTTTTTCAAAGTTTTTTTTTTTAAGAAAATGGATATAATTAATTATAAAAAAGAAATAATCAACTATATTGATATAACAATTATTTTTCAAAGTAATCAATTTTATCGTAAATATAATTCATTATCTTTTCCCTTTTAACTAATTATATTGTGTTTTGAACTATATACTAAAAAAAGTTAATATCCTAAACCAAGTTGATTGAATTTTTGGTTGGGCAGTTTCCGATTCTTTTTCCAAGAAAGTGGCCAACCAAATATGTTTTAATTGCAAGAGCAACATAGTTATGGACTTTCTTGACTCTCTATTTTATCATTTGAACCATAGACTACAGAGCTTCGATGCCCCAACACAGGGAATTAGTTGTCTAGTACTCTAGTGAGTAACAACAACCTTTTATGGCAGTAAGAATAGTATCGCGTCCTATCCTAAAATGAAGATTAACCGTTTTGGTTTGGTGCATTATCCCTTATATATAAACCACAACTACTACCCTCCCACTAACCTACTCAGCATGTGCCACCTTGGCTCATATAACTAACAGCCTTATTCATGATTGTATCTTAAATCCAAATAAAGAACATCACAAAATACAACATTTAATAAGAATATTTAAGCAGTTGAAAACTTGGCAAAACCGAACTAAAAAAAAAAAAAAAAGGAAACTCAGCAAAGCTAACAATCCTCAAAAGAAAGGCCATAAAAAAAAAAATCTTGATTTGCAATTCAAACTATTATTAGATGAGAATTAAGTCTTAAACTTTTATTTTTTATATAATAATTTAAATTATATAATATAAATCACATAACAATTTAAATTATACAATATTTATCATTAAATAATAAACATTTAATATTAAAAATTATATTTTATTTAATAATATTATTTTAGAGCTCAGTCCATCCGAAAATACATATAAAAGCCACCTTTTCGAGTAATCATGCTAAATTGAGCTGTTAATAATTTTGGAAGCAGTGGGAACGACAACGTTTCATAGGTAAACAAAATCCTCTGATGAAAAAGTAGAGTTTACAGAGCGAAGTTGATCGCCATCACCTAACTGTATAAACCTAACTTCGAATCATCCTCAGATAAACAAAATCAGCCTTGATTTGAATCTTGAATTCCATACACATACGCATTTGCATCAGGTTCGATTCGCTTCTCCGTTCTGCTTCGTTGTTTTTTTCTGATTCTCGGGAAAACGAAGGAAAATGGAAATCTAATTTGGCAATTTATTCTTCAATCAGCTTGATTTTAAAAATCCCTTTGGAGTGATGTAACTGTCCCTTAGTTCATGTGTCCCTTTCATTTTCTTTACTGTAATGAAGAAATTGACAACAAGAATTATGATTCTAGTTTCCGTATGGTTTCCTTTTTCTTACCAACCAAACAGGATTTTAAATGCTTAATCTTTCTTAATCTTATTAATCCGTTAAGGTCAAGATCTTGCCCTTCTTAATTGTTGGTTTTGGCTTCCCTATTGATTTTAATCTGTAACATTATTTTTTGCAGGGTTTTAATTTTGGATTGTAAATGCAGGGATTTTGATGTGCTTGAATTGGGGGATTTGAGTTAAGGGAACAAGTTGTGCAAGGTTTTTATGGTAAGGATATGGCTTGGTTTGGTAGTAGGGTTTCTTTGGGGGGCTTCCCTGATCTAGCTGGGGCGGTGAACAAGCTCAGTGAGAGCGTGAAGAATATTGAGAAGAATTTTGATAGCGCTCTTGGGTTTGAGGAGAAGTCTGATTCCAGCAGCAATGAAGGTACAATCTTTACTGTTTGCTTTGTTAGTATTTGCACTAACTTTTACCTATTTTACACAACTGTTCACTTTACTCAACAAACTCCTTTGAACTTTTGTATCCATATGTCATGACACTTGGGTTTGAAAATAAAAGGGACAAGCTATTGCTGGTTGTTATGCATAAGTTTATAATGCGGGTTCTCAGCTAATTATACTTATGAGATTCTATCTATTGTCTCTAGCTTCGGGATTGTGGCCTTCAGACAGGAAGACTCTATTTGATCCTGTTATGGCTTTTATGGGTCAAAAAAGTGAGGAAAGTAGTAATGTTGATTCATCAGGGAAACCTGAATCTTCAAAGAATTCACTTAAAGGTGAGGAAAAACAAGAGGTTGAAACTGATGAGGTAATACATTCGCTCTCTGGGCAAGCCAATGTTGAAGAAAAACAAGTACTCAAGACTGATAAAGATGAGCATCCTGAGGCTGCAGAGGAATCAGATACTGTAGTTTCACACCCTTACAAAGCTGAGGCTGAATTAGAAACTGTGTCTGTTGAGCCTGCTGAATCAGTTGTTGAGAACATTGATGCATCAGATTCTCATGACAATGCACAACAGAAAGAAAGTTCTGGTTTGGGACTTTCTAAAAATTCAGAGTCAGTGGATGCAGATATGGATGTTAAGGGTGTAACTGTTGTGCCAGCAGAGTCACGTCATGTTGTTGATATACATGAAGGTATGGATGAACAAAAGACACAAGCAGAAGACCTCATAGAGAAAGGTTCACTGGTTCAATCTGAAGCATCAGATGAGAGCCAGGCTAGAGACCAGACTGAGTTTTCTGGTTTGTATTCTGCTATTGTTGAGGAGGCTGACAGTTCTCCTGAACTTTCTTTGCCTGTTGCACATCCTTCAGATGATGTCCTGGAAGTGGTTTCTGAATCAATTTCTATTGAAAATGATGCAAAGGTTAAAGGAGTTGAAGTGGATGAGCAAGTGAGGAATGACAAGACTGATTCTAAAGAAGAGCAAGGCTTGAAATTTGAAACCAATGAGCCTAGCTCAGCCGATTCTGTGCTTGAATTGGAGAAAGTGAAGATGGAGATGAAAATGATGGAATCCGCTTTGCAAGGTGCTGCTAGGCAATCTCAGGTATTTGACATTTTCCATTGTTTTAGGTAGGAGACATGTACAGTACATCTGTGACTGTGATGACCCAGACCCAGACATTTATCTGGCATGATCACTGTTATCATTGTTTGTGAATTTCTTTATCTATTGCACACAATTGTGACAGTTTTTACATCTCCATTTAATCCATTGCATTATGCATGTACTTCAAAAAGTTAAAAAAGGAACCATTAGTTCTTTTTGGTGAACTCCATCTCCACCTTCCTATGTTTTTGTTTCCTTCTTTCTTTTCTTTTCACTCCAATGCATTTTGTTAACATATTCTGTGTTTAATTATCCTTGTATCTCTATTGAATTTTTAGAGTTCTTCAAATTCTAAACTTTAATGTTTTCTTTATCAGGCCAAAGCTGATGAGATTGCAAAGTTGATGAATGAAAATGAGCAACTAAAAGCTGTGGTTGAGGATTTGAAGGTATGTTTAGGGCATTGATCCTTTTTCTATATATTTTACTGTGGGTGTGGGTAGGTATTTCATGCCATTTCACTTGTTTATCCTTTATCATTCAGTATATTGAGTCTTACAAGTTGCATGATATAAAGGCTTTAACCCTCCCTTCCTTCCCTCAGTCCTTTCATCTAAGTCAGTCATACAGCTTCACCTCTTCTGGTTTGCCTGTGTTTTGTTTGATTGGCATTTTGTGTGTATTTAGTCTGAGTATTTGTACCTAAAATTTAGATACTGGTCAGAAAAGATGCATGAGAGCATATTAGGTGAAAAAACTTACTGCAGAAGGGGCCTTCTACGGAAAATGGAATCATGAAAGGGGAAGAACCTCAAGTGAAATCATATCCTGAATGCTGGATTCCATATTTTTATTGGTGTGAAATCATCATATGCTTGTTATCAACTTATCATTGACCATTTGTTCAATGTCCAGTTGTCCCTCTTCTTCTCCTTTTTTTTTTCTTCTGGTCAATCAAGCTAATGATATATGTCATCAGATTTTGTTCCATTATATTGGTCTACTGTAAACGTCAATCATTTTTATTTATTTATTCATTTACTATTATTATTATTATTATTATTATTTTAATGAGAAACATCCATCAGGTGAACACGTTAGGTATAATAACTCCATGTTCATAAAGTTATCCTATGTCTTTTTCTTTCCATGGAAAAAATAATATACTTGTGATTTAACTGCACAAAGTTATTGAACAGAGACAATCCAGGGATGCAGAAATTGAGTCTTTGCGAGAAGAGTACCATCAGAGGGTTGCAACCCTTGAAAGGAAGGTTTGTCACCAAAGCTTTCTTCCTTTCTAATTTGCTCCTTTTTTTCCTTTTTCATCAATTTCTTGTTTACATTGTGCTTCAATTATTGACCCTGTGAAATCTAAGAGGCTTATTGCCTAAAATCTTGAATCATTTCAAAACTCTTTTCCAACATTTCGAACCATGCCAGTAAAGCAGCCAAAGCCTGGTACAATAATAAATTGACAGGTTGTCACATAAAAAAAAAAAAAGAGTAGATAAGTGCTCTGATGTTTGATGCTTGTAACCACATTTCAAAGAGAATGTACGATCACAATTAGTACATATTGCTGTGCTATTGCTTTTGAGGTTTTGATGCTTTCTCTTGTTATGGTGTATCTTCTTTGCTTGTCATCAACCTCATTGATATTTACAGAAGTTACTTTTTTTATTTCTCTGTTGAGCAAACTGACTTGTCAGTCTTACTGCTCTTTTGCTTGTCTTAGTGTTTGAGATGGACTAAAGAAGCATGTTATTTAGTATTGACGAATAAACCAGTGAAAATACATCTAAAATTGGTTTCTTATAGGAACATGAATTTTTTCATGTAATTCTTTTTGTGTTGACTAGGTTGTATGTTTTCTGGCTTAAGTTCCTTTTAATAATAACATTTAATTGCACCTTTGTGTCTTATTACAGGTTTATGCTCTTACTAAGGAAAGGGATACGCTTCGTAGAGAGCAGAACAAAAAAAGTGATGCAGCAGCTCTTTTGAAGGAAAAAGATGAGATAATCACCCAAATTATGGCTGAAGGTAAAGCTGTGAAAATTCCATTTTATATTTGATGCAATTCTTTCAAGAAGCAGCATTTTTTTTTTCTTTTCCTAATCTGTCATTTGCTTCTTCGACTCATGTTATTCTTTTGTCCAGTAAAAATCAGTGGATTCACTTTACTTTTTTGGGAGGTTTATTTTGTGAATATGTATAGTACCTCATACTGAAGTTTGTTCTAGTTTAAATTTTTTTCATGTAATTTCATTTCAATGAACATATTTGATTCTTCTAGTTGTAAGCTGCTGTTATTATGTCGTCATGGTGTCTTGGTAATTGATGGTGAGCCATTTCACTACCTGACAGCTATGTTATAAGTTGATAGGTATGATCCTAGGACAATCTAAGACTTACTTGGAGAAGATAATAATGGTTTTGGTTTAGAGGGGGTTGAAGAAACATTGATTTTGCAGCTTATTTAATTATATATATCTGCAAATATGGTTTCTTTAGTAGCTTATCCCTATAAATTTTCTGGGGAAAGTTTTAGTAGAGTGAAGTAGATAAGAAAAATGGCTTCCGCAACCAAAGCTCCACAGGTGGAATAGGTGAATCGCAGCTGAGGAGCTAAACCTCTAGTTTTAAGCAACAACCTTTTCTTTTTTCTGGATGCTGCTTTTGCTGTCAATAGTTAGCTCTATGTCTGCCTTTTGGATATGAATCATAAGTTATTTCTGAACTTGCTTGCTTTACACACGTTGCAATAGTCATGTGTGGCACTTCTTGTTGGAGGAAACCATTCCACGCTACAAGTTGCACCAGAACCATCCCCACTCCCCCTTTCCCATAGAATTTAGCTAATTTCTACTTCCTAAAGGAGACTCCTAGATTTATTGCATTAAGAGATTTTGATGTAAAGAGAGGAATCTTGGGGTTGAGATTTTGCTGAATAGACGACCCTTGGACAGTCAATTTTGCTAGTTTAGTAGTTTAAAAATTGGTTGTATTCTTAATGATTTGCTTGCTTCCAACACCTTTTTCATGTTAAGTTGTGGGAATATATGAACACAAGCTTGACTAGTTTCTGCACTGGTATTCTGCTGTATATTAACTGGCTTGTGATATATGTTCAGGGTGCTGTTTCCCATCTTCTTCTTCTTCTTTTTGTCATCTGAAGTACTTTTCAGTTCTGATGAATCTTTGTAGTGTATGTCGCATGCAAGTAAAGTCTGCATGTAGCCTTGTTTGTTTGTTGTGCTCTTGTTTCAAGATATATGTCTTTCCTCCCAGGTGAAGAGCTTTCAAAAAAGCAGGCCGCCCAAGAATCTCAAATTAGGAAATTAAGAGCTCAGGTATACAGATGTGTTCAGTGATCAATTTGACTTTTCAGCAGTGATCATTTTGCTAAATAATCTCTTTTTCCCTGTACATTTGTGACATTAGATTAGAGAACTTGAGGAAGAGAAGAAAGGTCTGACTACGAAGCTTCAGGTAATTGCAATGTAGTTGGTTAGTTATTCTTTCTCCCTTAATCATAATTGAATTGAAAGTGAGATTAACTCAAATGTATAAATCATGGACACCTCTTGAATTATCATCCTTGCAAACTTGGATTTTTCTGCAATATTACTAGTATATTCTCTCTCACAGTCTTTGGTTTATTACTTTAGTGGTGAAACTCCACCTCCCTATATCTGATGTTCTTTAACTTTTGCTTCCCTTGTGTCATAATGATATAAAGTAATTAAAAGGTTGAATTATTTTCATGAAACTCGGGAAGAGTGAAATACCTTGAGTTGACTCAAGTGATGTCTTCTTTGTAATGAATTTGCATATTGTCTAAGTATTCCTCAATATATGTCCATTGAAGCATAAAAGAATTCAATTATTTGCAAATGAGCTTCTGTCTAAGATTACCCTTTTCTTGTAGGGCATTTATGTGAACCAAAACCAACATATGGTTACTTTCGCGTGGTTATTATTATTTTTTTTATTTTTTATTTTTATTTTTTTATTTCCAGGTTGAAGAGAACAAAGCAGAGAGTATCAAGAAGGACAAGACAGCTACAGAGAAGCTGCTGCAAGAAACAATAGAAAAACACCAAGTGGAACTCACAGCTCAGAAAGAGTTCTATACAAATGCTTTGAATGCAGCCAAGGAGGCTGAAGCTTTAGCAGAGGCAAATGCCAACAATGAAGCAAGAACTGAATTAGAGAGTCGTTTAAGGGAGGCAGAGGAACGTGAAGCTATGCTAGTTCAGACACTTGAAGAATTAAGGCAAACACTAATCAGAAAGGAGCAGCAGGTTTTTTTTTTTTTTTGTTATTGTGTAGATTTACTCCTAACTTTTTTATGATTTGATTTATTTTATTAGTGATTTCTGATATGTAGGCAGTTTTTAGAGAAGACATGCATCGCAAGGACATTGAAGACCTACAAAAACGTTATCAAGTGAGTTGAATATTTGCTGATAGTTTTTGAACTAACTTATCTTGGCTTTTTTCCCTTTTTCATTTCAATAACTTGTATTCAACAATTTAGCCCTCATCTTGTTGTGTAGGCAAGTGAACGTCGTTGTGAGGAATTGATTACACAAGTTCCTGAATCTACAAGGCCTTTGTTAAGGCAGATTGAGGCCATTCAGGTTGATTATGTCTTTCTCTTGCCCTTTTAGAAGGATGTTTTGAGTTGTGGCTGTCTATTTAGTTTCTGAGATATGTGGTGTTTTTGAACAACTCTATACTGTTTTGTGATAGGAAACAACTGCTAGAAGAGCTGAAGCTTGGGCTGCCGTAGAGAGATCCTTAAATTCTCGGCTCCAGGTGCCTACAAATGTTACTGCTGGTTGTTATATCATAAGCAGAATATATATATCTATCAAATTCTTTTAGTTTTTTCTTTTTTCTTTCCTCTAAGATTTACTCCATTGAATCTACAGGAAGCTGAGGCCAAAGCTGCAGCTGCTGAGGAAAGGGAAAGATCTGTAAATGAACGCTTATCTCAAACATTATCTCGAATTAATGTTCTTGAAGCTCAGGTCCTGCTTTCTACTAGTGATTCTATTTTTTAAAAAAAAAATTTTTTTTTTGCTTGCTTGCTGACACTTATGATTTGATTCAGATTTCGTGTCTTAGGGCAGAGCAAACACAGATAGGCAGGTCGCTTGAGAAAGAAAGACAAAGAGCAGCTGAAAATAGGCAAGAATACCTTTCAGCAAAGGAGGAAGCAGATACTCTAGAAGGTCATGTGAACCAGCTTGAAGAAGAAATTAGGGAGCTAAGACAGAAACACAAGCAAGAGTTGCAAGATGCTCTGATGCGCAGGGAACTTCTAGAACAGGTTGTCCCTTAAATTCATACTTAAGTCAGTGTTGATTGCAGTTCATGTATTTGATCAAGTGGGAAGTCTCCTTTTTGTTTACTTTATTTCTGTTGTGCGGGATTATTCTTTGTAATGAATGTACCATAGTGGTTTTTAAGTCCCAACAATATTTGGATGCTCTCCTCCATTAAATAGTAAACCGTATGACTAGAATTGTATTGCTTTAATATTCCAAGATGAACAAGTTTGTGTGTTGAAGTTACATGGATGTTGTTTGAGAGCTTTGCATGCAGGCTTAAAATTGAAACCCTATTCCCTCTGTTAATAATTAGTATTTATATTTAATCTCATATTTGCAAATTGCAATTGTTGAATTAAATTTTCTTATTAATGACAGGAATTAGAACGGGAGAAGACAGCTCGGTTGGATTTGGAAAGGTCATCTCGTGTGCATTCTACCACTGTATCTGATCAACCTCCACTAACAAGGCATAACTCTACTTTAGAAAATGGTATAATATTTGGCTTTTTTTCGTAATGATACTTGTGTTTATCTTCGCAATCTTTACTTACTTTGCAAATTTGATGCAGGAAGCTTGTCCCGGAAGCTCTCAAATGCTAGCAGCTTAGGAAGCATGGAGGAAAGCTATTTTCTGCAAGCATCTTTGGATTCATCTGATAGTGTCTCTGAAAGGAGACATATTGGAGAAGTAACTATGAGCCCATTCTTCATGAAGAACATGACACCTAGTGCTTTTGAAGCTGCTCTTCGTCAAAAAGAGGGTGAACTTGCGTCATACATGTCCCGACTGGTACTGATATGATTTGGGCTCTTGTATTTAAAATACTGTCCCCTAAATGTTTCAGAAGAGTGTGATATACTCAGCAGTCGTGACCTGAGTTTCGAAACTTCATTACCATATACATTTGTGGGTTTAAGTGCTTTCCCATTTATAAATCTTAACATCTATTTCTGTTTTTGGTTTCCTTCAGGCATCAATGGAATCTATACGTGATTCCCTTGCTGAGGAATTAGTCCAAATGACAGCACAAGTGAGACTTCCCACTGCTTCTTGTTAATGTTTTTCTCATTTTCTGTCTCTAAATAAGCAACTTGAAAACTTTGGTTCATTGGCTACAGTGTGAGAAGTTGAAGACTGAAGCTGCTACATTGCCTGGCATACGGGCAGAGCTAGAAGCACTGAGAAGGAGGCACGCTGCTGCTCTGGAGCTAATGGGTGAACGCGATGAGGAGGTACGCCTTTTTCTATTTTGTCTTTCCTCACGTTTCTGGCAAAGAAAATTTTAATCCAGGGATAAATAAAGCATGCTGATTAAGGAAATGTGCATGCTTATCACTTGGTCTCGAGAGAGAACCCATCATCTACTGAAGTGCTGGAAAGCAGAAACCATCCCTTTCTCTTTTCACTTTAACTCCTATTGTCTGTTATGTCCTAATAAGTCATTGAATCTATTCAGCTGGAGGAACTTCGCAACGATATTGTAGACTTGAAGGAAATGTACAGAGAGCAAGTGAACTTGCTTGTGAATAAGGTATTTTGTTTCCCCCAACTCCGACATTGCTGTTCCCCCTCATAAATTCTTGTTTTATTGCCCATTGCTAATAGATGGTTGTTTTTGTTGACAGATTCAAATATTGGGTTCTTCAATGGGTAACAGCACCTCATAAGCAATCCTTTTGTGGTATTTAAAAGACATGACATCCTACAGTTTGTAGTAAACACAACCTGTCCAACAAAAATTTTGCTCCTACACTGGTTATCATGTATTTTTATACAGGAGTCTGTACCTTTTTCCAATCATATGTTGTATAGAACAAAACATTACATGACAAATCGGATGTTTATGCAGATTGAATGTGATGCTAGATTGGTGATTTGTTTTCGAAATAAAAGATTAATTCATTTCTTAAATCATAAATGGTTGTACCCATCGTCAGTTTTTCTTGTCATTTTTGCATTTGTGAGATCCATCATTCCATATGGCCTCAATGGTATCATTATCTTAATCAAACTTGTGTTCCCCACGGCAGGCATCAGTCTGGTTTTTTCATGCGCAGATATTGGACATCCTATTTCATGGAGATTTTATATGTTTTTAATAGTATGTCATACTATAAAAGAAATGATGAGATAAACCAGAATTTTGCAGGTGAGGAGACTCTTTCATGTTGGGAATTAGGGAAATGAGTTTGAATCGAGGGAAATGTGGAAGAAGGAATGACAGAATTTCTATAAGTAAACATGATTTCACAGTTTAGGTTGAAAAATATGTTTCTGTTAATTAAAAGATAATTAAGTGAAAGAGATGAGACTTATTCCATTTAAATCATTAAAAATCCTTTTTTTTTCCCTCATTCCCTTCCTCAAACCAAAAGCATTCAGTTGGATTTTGATGTATGACCTCAAAAGAACGTAAAACAATCTGGACTGCTAGAACTGCTACTTATTAGTCAATTACCATAATATAGTTTCTTTTAATTCAATGCTTAGCATTTTACCGATGATATTTTTTATTTCTTAATAATAATAATATAATAAAAAGTGTTTTATAAGTTGAATTGTATATTAAAAATAAATTTAATTTATAAATTT